ATACAAGATTAGACATTGTATAGACTACTAGGGTTGTGCGTGGCTGTAGCGGCACATATTGGCACATACACGTAGATGCACAAGCCCACAAGCAGCGCTCACGTATGCATACATGTGTGCACCTCTACTTTTTGAACTTATATGTGAGTTTAATGGATGTTCACTTTTGCGTTCAGTCGTACAAAGGGGAAGTGATTGGCACCCCTGCGTACGCGGCCCCTGAGGGTGGCGGTCTATGCGACGAGAAGGCCGACATATACTCCAGCGCCTTGATTTTGCTCGAACTTTTGTGTCCCCGCTTTACAACAGTGATGGAAAGAGTAAAGACGCTCGAAGCTTTTAAACGATACTACCATGTAAGTCTGCAACACACTCACATCAACGCATTCTTGCACACGGGAAATTCTGCATGACGGCTTTCAGGAGGTGTTTTCCATTTATTTGTGTTGGCATCAGGGCAGCAATCCTTGGGTTTTTTCTATGGCTTATTTTTGCAGTTTGCGGGTTCTGGCTTCATTTCCCTCTTGTTTCCGGGAGGCTTATGTCTCTTTCAGCGTGGGACCTGCCCCTATTTATAGGGGTTCGTTTTGCTGCCGCGTTTTGTTGCTGCTGCTGTACAGGTGCCGCAGCACGTGGCTACTTACCAGGGGTGCTGGAGGGACTTAATGCTTGAAATGGCTCGACCAGACCCACAAGATAGGCCTTCAGCCAACGAGGTGAGCTCACAAGGAACTGACAAAGCGGGTAGAGAGGAACGGGAAAACCTAGACAGAAAAGCTGAGATGTAGGCATGAATGAGTAGAGGAAGACACATACAGAGGCAGGCACAAACAGACAGGGGCGCAGGACTTTCAGAAGAACAGCTTCAAGCCAGAAAGGAACAGAAACAGGCAAAAATAAGCAAAGAAACGCACGTGCAGACAGGATTAAGGTAAACACAAACGAGGTAACAGGGATTTCTATGGTACACAGTGAGGTTATAGAGGCAAAACAAGGAAAGGGGGAGGAGTGGGTGGAGACGTTTAGCTTGGCGTTTCAGATTGAAGGGTTTAGGGTTTGTACTTGTCCGTATCAGGTGCTGAGGCGGGTTAAGAACCTCTTGGCCAGCGCAGCAGACGGGGGCGGCGAGCACACATCGTCTTCAGCCTTCATAGGAGACAGAGGCACCACCAGCAGCACCACCACAACCCCAGCCCTTAGGCCCCCCAGCAGCACTTCTCTGTCGCTGTCCCAGGCTCAAGCCCCTCACAGTCTGGACCCTGTGGGTGCAGCAACTGTGCCGACTGCGCTTGTGGCAGCAGCTGCAGCATCAACACCGACAGTAGCCCTGGAAGAGGCAGCAGCTCAGCCTGCCAATGAAACGCGGCAGCAGACCCAGGAGACGCTTCCTACGAAAGACAGCGGGAGTGGGGTTGCCTTGCTGCTGCCTTCGGCAGCAGCAGGTGGAAAGCAGTAGTTGCTTCAACAAGAGCAGAAGCAATCGCAGCCGCTCCTGCTGCAGCAGCAAACAGGTTGGTCGGCGAGGCAGGGGCGTCATATAGGGACTCTGCCGTTTGAAGTTCTAGTTGCTGCGGCTGCAGCAGCAGCAATTCTAGCAGCGCCTGTTGCTGCTGCAACAGCAGCAGCAACAGCACATTTTCGCCACGAGTGCAGCGGGAGTAGCTGCTGCCTGTGTGCGTTATCAGCAGCATTCCAAGTTGCAGCTGCTGCAGCAGCTGCAGCGGTAGCAGCAGCTGGCGCAGCAGGAACGCCTCTCGCTGCATTTGTCTGCATACTGCAGAATGCGCGTGGGGCTACTGCTGCTGCTGCTGCAGTGTTTGTTTGTGTCGATGTAGCAGCTATTTGTGTCCCTTTAGTTTCAGGGGGAAAGATTTCCTCTTTTCTTTCAACTGTTGTTTCATTGCCAGTTTAGGCACACTGCGATACTCGCTTGCGTTGAGGACCGCTAATTTCATCAGCAGCAGTAGCAGCAGCAGCAGCAGCAAGCAGCACTCGAATACACGTGCGGCTTTCCCGTAAGAGCATGGACAAATAACACGGGTAGCATATACTCTGGTAGGCGGCACTACTGCTATCTGTGCAGCACCTTTCTGAAACCGGATCTGCAACAGCAGCAGCCGCTCGTGCAGGCTCACCACTAGTTTTGTGGAGTGGAATTCATCTACGCATAAGCTGTTTTGCTGCTGCTGTGTGAATTGCAGAAAGGCATCTCTTCATAAGAGAAGCCCCAAAGTGCACTAGCACTAATTGTCGCTAGTCGCCAGTCTTCAACGGTAAAAACTACTACTAATTACGTACTGTGGAGCTCAAACAGACATGCACTTTTGTGCTCATATATGTAGGCTTTGACTTACGTGCATACTCGCAGGTATATGAACAGTCACGTGAAGGATCTGCATACATGGGTGGAAATGTATATGTATGTATGTGTATATTCGCGTACATTTGTACCCATGTATGCAAGAATGGCTATTGCCTATGCGAGTGTGTAGGTGCTTAGGAGTACGTTTGTGTTAACGCACACACCGATATAAGCACATAGTGTATGTGCAGGTGTTTTCTTCGACATACGGGAACGTATGTGTGCTACCACTTAGTTCTGCACAAGTACTCAAGGCCCCTTTACGCTGCGTGAAAGCCTAGTCACGCTAGTGAAAGGCAGCTCAGCCTTTACGGCCGTAGGGCGTGGGAGCCTGTATTGCCTGTATGATAGCAGGCGATGGGTAAACACCGAAAGCAGTTTAATGCTACTTCAAGATTCTAAGCCGGCAGCTAGAGGAGGCTTAAGTCTTTGCAGAGGGCAGTTAAGGCGTAGGGCCTTCTTGTTGTCCAAATTTATGAAAGGCGGGTGAAAAAGGAATATCAAGAACAGATACCATAAGAAATCCTGCCTAAAGTTCCGAAATGACTTTTTTGTGTGCGGGTGCCGGCCAGTAAGTGTGTATGGCAAACTGGAGTACCAGTTTCATGTTAATTCCTCCATTGCAGTTCCCTGTGCTGCTGGGCCCTACAGCCCATAAAGCCTTTACTTAGAGCCCAACATCACCGTTTGTGCCTGCCGATTTGCTCACTTTCATTCATTTGTCAGCTCTAGAAGGCGGCCAGACGCTAAAGAAGAGCTCACGCCTGCAGCTAGCTGCAGTTTTTGCTTGTAGTGGCCTCGATTTCATACGCACGCTACATATATGCACAAAATATGCACTCATTTGTATCACATCCACACACATTGAATACATGGAGTTTTATGAGAAAAGCCAGTTCAACTCGCGCCCTTTGCAGCTGCAGAAAGGCCCCAAGCCAATCTGGATGGCTGTGCGGTTAATCACAAGAGACACAGGCACGTAAAGGCGTAGGCTCCTTCTGCAGCGCAGCCCCTCCCGCTAATTTCCATCGTGACTGCCGTTAATTAATTTTTGTTTTCTCAAGCGCCAGATTAAACGTACAGATGGGCCCTCTAAGCCTCCACCAGAAACAGCAGCAGCAGCAGCACCGCCGCCAACAGCTACAGCTGGCATCTGCTGCATCCGCTAGAGTGCCTTGCTGCGACGCCCATCTGCGGCCTTACTGGGTCCATGTCTCACAATCAGCAGCGGCATAGCAAAACAAAGACCACTAAGTTTACGCTATTCGAGCTATAGTAGTCAAAAGAAAGTCGATAAATGCCTATTGATGCAGTTTACTGTTGCGGAGCAACACAGAAACCTTCGTGTAACGGCGGCGGCGGGGCGCTTGGTCGAGTGACTGCAGCAACAGCACCGTTAGGAGCAGCAGCAGTGGAAACAGCAAGCCTTCTCACCTTTTCCAATTTGTGTATGTGTATGCGGCTTTGATATATTAGATAAAAAAGACGGGGAAGCTCATTCCGGCCTTCGTCGTGGATCAGCTGCTGCAGCTGCCGCTGCACAGCAGCTGCTACTGCTGTGGCGGCGGCGGCAGCGCTGCTGCTGCTCCAGTGCTACGTGCTGCAGGAGTCTTGCGTCTACATTAGCAACATCTCCTCGGGGGGCCCCCACTTGTCCCTATTTCCTTCCTGAGTCGCTCTTGAAGGGCCGGAGGCAAACAGCTGTGAAGAAGCGGCTGAAAGGGGGAGGCCCCGAGTGCAGCAGCAGCAGCAGCGGCAACTGCAACACCAGCAGCGGCTACAACAGCGGATAAGGGGCCCTCTTTTTTCCTGTTTTTGCAACTCTGGCTTTTAATTTCCTCCGAGACACCTTCACTTGAAGAGACGCACGGAACTGGACCCCAACCCGCCATATCATTCTTGCTGCAGTCGCTGCTGCTGCTTTTGATGCAGCAGTAGCATTCCGTTGCAGCAACAACAACAGGCCTCTGCTCGGTTCGCCGTACAGAAACACTCACAACTGCGGCAGTTCACCTGCTGCACGTGCGGCAACTCCGAAACATCTGGAGGGGCAGCTGCAGCAACACGAGCACTTGAAAGCAGCAACAGCAGCATTTGGCAGCAGCAACAGCAGCAGTAGTTGACGGGAAATCGTATACCGACTGCTTCCAGGCCCGCAGGGCCTCGCCCTCTGCTTACGCATCGTGGTTCTTGCTCCTGCGGTGACAGCAGCGACAGTGGTAGAGCAGCAGTAGCATCAACCGGCTTCGCAGGAGCAGCATGGAGTCTCCGTCACTTCCTTTTTCTTTGGATGTGGTGGGGTTGTTCCAGGGCGTGCACCAGGACCAGCAGCAACCAGCTATCCCTTCTTAATCGTGCTGCAGATGCGCTGCCCTTGGCGTACTCTCTCAGCTGCTTGTACACCTCAGTGTCACTCCCGCAGCAGCAGCAGCATCAAGCGCAGCAGCAGCAGCAGATCTTGCTGCTAAGCTGACTTAGCAGCAGCTGCTGCCTGACTGCCGAAAGCTTCGACAGAACGTGAGTCTGCTCTCTCTTCCAGGCCGACACCTGCTGCTGCTGCTGCTGCTGCAGCCGCCGCTGCTTCTGCTTGCGCAGGAGCTGCTCGACCTCTGGCAGCAGCACCAGCACAAGCAACAGCATGCAGCCCACAGCGGCTGCTGCTGATGCAGCTGAGGCGCTGGCAGCCGCGGCAGACCGGGGCAGCAGCCGCAACAGCTCCCTCAGCACTTGCTGCAGCACTGGCACCCCACGTCTCAACGGCTACAACAGCAACCGAAACAGCAGCAGCAGCACCGTCTGCACAAGGCCTTTCCAAATGCTGGGCGTCCCTTCCGATGAAGATGTCGTACTCGCTGCAGGGAACAGCAGCAACCTGCAGCAGCAGGTGCAGCAGCAGCAGCATGACAGCGGCTGTGAGTGCTGCGCTTGCTGCTCCAGATCAGGTTTGAGTGGAAAGGAGAGCGCAGATGCTGAAGCAGCAGCTACAGTGGCTGCTGCTGCTGCTGCTGCTGCACCAAAGGCCCTCTTCGTGGGGGGCATGACGGCGAGACACCTTGGCACAGTGGTATTTATGCGTCATGGGGCGAGGGCCCCGAAAGTCCGTGTATCAGCTACATCTGAGGATGCTGCTCCAGTTGAAGCTGCTGCTGCTGCTGCTGCTTCGGATGGGGAGGCAGCTGCAGCAGGGCCAAACGACAAGAGGAGCAGCAGCAGCGACGCGGGCACAGCGATTCGAGGCTCAGAGTCTGCTGCTGCAGAACATAAACTTGCGGACTCCGCAGAAGCTGCAGTTGCTGCAGAAGACAGCAAACACGAGGCCGAAAAGGGGGACACCATCTGGCCCTTTGGGGGTGTCCCCGGCTCTCTCACAGAAGCTGGCTGGAGGCAGTCAGTTGCGGTGGGAATGGACATTCGCCGCGCCCAGGCCCACCTCCGCCGCTGCTGCGCATGTGCAGCAGCAGCAGCGGCAGCAGGTACTGCTGCTGCTCCTGGAGATGCGACGGCTGAAGTGCAGCAAGCAGCTGCTGCTGCAGCCGCAGGAGGACCGTGTCGTGGCATCCCCGTCATGGTGTGTAGCACGGAGTCCATCCGCTGCATTCAAACAGCCCAAGCTGTTATCACAGGTCTCCAGATGGCCATGCAGCCCCAGCAGCAGCGGCAGCAGCAGCAGCAGGTTCAGCGGGGGGGAGCAGCGGCAGAGGCGCAGGACTGTCTGCAAGTGGACTTGAAGAGCTGCCTATACACCGCGCCAGCGGGGTCCCCAGCGTCTTTGGCTTTGAAGGCCAAAAGCCCCCTCGTAAAGCTGCACAAACGCAGAGCCCTCTGCAGCAGCAGCAGCTACGCTGCTGCATGCACGGCGCTGGAGGGGGAGGCGGCGCTGCTGCGGGAGCTTACGGGCTGGAGCAGCAAAGAGGGGCTGCGGGTGATGAAGAAATTTGTGTCTTTGTATGGTGCCTACATCTACCACGGCATTCCGCTGCCGCTGTTGAAGGGGGGCCACGCGAGCCTGGCGCTGCTGCACAACAGCAGCAGTGGCAGCGGCAGCAACGGACACAGCAACGCAGGCCCTCCCAGCGGCAGCAGCAGCAACAGCAGCTGCTGCAGCAGCTCCAGAAGCAGCACAACCAGCTACACGTCGAATGCCACGCTCCTCCCGGGCCCCACAGATGCCGAAGAAGCAGCTGCTGCTCTTGTTGAGGCTGCTGCAGCAGCAGAAACGGTAGATCTACATGGGGAAGGCGCAGCAGCAACACCGACGGCAGCGCCAGTTCCCATCCGCCACCCAGCAGCAACGGAATCCGCAGCAGACGAAGTGACCCACGCAGCAGCAACTGAACCCGCAGCCGAAGCCGAGCCCGCAGCAGCAGCAGCAGCAGCAGCGGCACCATGCAGTGAGGAGGAAACAAAGGAGATCACGCCTGACGAATTTCTGGATGCAGTGTTTCGCGGGGCTAATTTGGTGGCTCGGCTGCAGTATGCTGAAGAGGAAGAGGTGGGCTGGAGGGCAGGGGGCATCAGTCTGATGGAGATCACTGCCAGACTTGAGCGCATGGCGGACGCTGCTGCTGCTGCAGCGGCAGCAGCAGCACGGGAAGCCAGAAGTCCTGCTTCCGGTGGTGGAGCAGCCACAGAAGCAGCAGCAGGTGAAGAAGCTGAGGGGTTGTGCATCTTCGTAACTCACCAGTCGGCTCTCCTAGCGCTGCAGGCGGCTCTGGGGGTGTCTGCTGCTCATATGCAAATACCTCAGTTTGGCTGCTACCTCCAGGCGGAGCTGCTGCAGGTAGATGCGCCCCCTAGCTTCGAACCTACTGATTGCGGCGGCAGCAGCAGCAGCAGCAGAGCCGGCGACGAGAGCAACAGGTGCACGGAAGAAGACCAGCAGGATAATGCAGCAAAGACAGATGGGGAGCTTGCAGCTGCCCAACAAGAAGCAGCTCCAGCAACAACAGCGGAGACCGAACCAGCAGCAGTTTTAGCCATAACACCAGCAGCAGCAGAAGCATCAGGAACTGGTGCTGCAGCGCCAGTGTCCTTGCCAAATAATTCGACAATTGATTCTTCTGATGGTGCAAATGTGGCATGTTTGAGCACCTGCGGCAGCGGTTGCTGCTGCGCATGCTGTAGCGGGGCCATGGGGTGTACAGACACCTCAGCAGGTGAGGAGACACAGGAAGGGGCCCTCTACCAGGCCAAAGCTTCCCCAGTACCTGTGGCGAAGCGGCTTTTGTCACTCATGTCTCCTTTGCCAAAGACCACCCGAAGGAAACATCCAAATGTGGTGGTGCGCTGGTGCATAGACGGCGACCAACCGCTAGCGCTACCTGAGGTGCTTCGCTGGCGAGCCATTAGCAGCAGCAGCAGCAACTGTGACGACAGCAGCAACTGCAACATAGTGCTGCTGGATGACTTACTGCTTTTTTTGGACAGCCGCTGGGAACGGTTTGGACCGCCGATCCCACCAGAGCCTCTTCTTGCACTCAGAGTTGCGGAAATGACTGAGGAGCTGGAGCAGCAGCAACTGCTGCAGCAGCAGCAGCAACAGCAGCAGCACGGAGAGCAGTGCAACTTGGCAGAAACGCCTCTGGCGGAAAATCGCGTCAGGCGCTACAGGCTGGCTTTATCCGAGCCTTCTTGTTCTTCGACAGCAGCAGCAGCAGCAGTCTCTGCTGCAGCAACTGTCACTGCGGCAGCAGCAACATCGCCTGCGACAGATGACGGGGGAATAAGGACGCCGTTTAAGCATAGTAATCAGCGCCGGGTAATTTAATTAGAGTTGCAGCAACATCGGCAACCGGTGCAGCAGCAGCACAGAGAGCCGCGGTCTCTGTCTTCTCTCACCTGTACGTACAGCCCGTCCTTCAAGAAGACCGGGCGCGAGAGTCTGCTGCCCTTGCGGTCTTTGTGTTGCTGTTTTAGAGTGTCTCCTTTCTGCTTGCCTAAGAGGAGGAGGCTTTCTCTTGGGCGGAGCGCAGCAGCAAGCTACTGCTGCACTAGCAGCTGCATATTCTGCAATGCTGTGTGGGGACAGCTACTAAACTGTGCACCATGGGCTAGCGTGTCTGAGAGACCACAGCGACGTGTGTTGCTGGAGCAGCTGGAGCGGCAGCAGCGGCTGTAGCTGCAGCTGCTTGGACCCCCCAAAGCAGGAGGCAAACAAAGAGAAGCATGTGTGTCTACAACGGCAGCAACGGCGGCAGCAGCGACTGCTGCTGCTGCTGCATCAGCTTTTAACTATAGAACCAGCTACGGCTGCTGCAGCTGCAGCTGCAAATGAATGTTTAGTGTCTACTTCGTGTTTTCTGATGTAATGTTCTGGACACGTGAGAGTGCAGCGAGTCTATTGTAGAGACAAAGAAAACAGTGACAAGGCCAAACGCAGCTTCTCAGTTCAAAAAACGCAAGCACAGAAGCAGCAAGCTGCTGAAGCAGCAGAAACACAGTGAAACAAAGGTCAAAAGAAAACAGACATGAAGGCACTGAGGAGAAGGACGGATAAACGCAAGCAGTAGCAAGGTAGCTGGACAGGTGATAAGGAGCAAATGTAGTGCAGTAGAGAAACCAAAGCAAAGAAGTAGCCAGGGCTGCCACTGAACAAGATGCACGGTGACACAGGTAAATGTAAAGAGAGATGGGGAGCGCACGTTTATGAGGTCAGAGAGAAGAGTGAATGATACAAGAAGGCGCGGAGAAGTCGAGGTGGAAATGATGAATACAGATAAAGGCCCAAAGCCTACAGTTGGCGAGCACGGGCAAATGCATACAGGCGCAAACACTTGTCGTGACGCTTTCTTGAAAGAATGTTATCTCTTGCTGTCGAGAGAAGATAGGAGGGCTCAAGACATCGAGCCATATCACCTTCACCTCGGCACAGACACTGAACACCAAAGGCTCGTGTAGCTCGTGTCAGGACCTCTTCGCCCCAGCGTAACGTATTACGGACCCTTGGCGGAGAAGCCTTAAAGGCCTATCCAGCGCGTGAACTAGCTAGTAATGCAGCCACAGAGCTAATGCAACATAGCTCGGAGTTGCCTGGAGCGCACCATTGTAACCAACGAAGGCTACGGTTTGTGGTGCCTAAGGAAAAAATGTAAAGCACCTCTTTCTTTCGCGCTGTATGACTGGGAATAAAAAGAGCCAAAGCTGATACTACAGAAAAATGGCGCAGGTGCATTCAAGACTGGACCTGGCGAAATGCACCGGCATTTGATGCAACGATGCAGAACGCTGAGTTTCCTTGCAGGGAAATGGCTTAAATCGCGCATTTGAGCCCTTAATTATAACTTGAGCAATACCAGGGCTCAAAGGTAACGTGGAATGTCCGCGCGGTACTCTTGAATGGTTTTAGGGTTGGAGTTGCTAATCAGGACCGAGGCCTTGTCCACAAGTCCCCTCGTTACAGTGCCTTGCTAGCTGTCGGCCGTCCGTATGCAGTGGTTTAGTGGGCCACCGAAGGCAGTTGCAATGGGAGACTTTTTAGTCTCCCATTGCAACTGCAACTGCAAGAAGATACTCTAAGTTCTATAGATATAGCCGCATTGCACGCTACATTTAGGAGTTGTTAGGGTTTTAGGGTGCCTCTATTTTGAGCCTGCTATCACATCTGTATCACCAAAGATTAATTTCATAAACTAAGGTTAGACCCAGAGCTGAAGTACTAAACTTCACAGGAAGATTGTGGCTCCTTTACATCCTTGGATGCCCACCAGGCTAGCATGACTTTGCTGCCAAAAAGACACTTTGACTTCTCCACCACTGTCTACAAGGCCTTAGAGATTCAAAAAAATTAAAGAGAGGAGGTTAAGTGCTAGGTCGGAGCAATGGATGTCTCGAGTTGGTCTTCCTTCGCTGGGCCCACGCAGCTAGCAATAAGGATCATCTCCGTTTCCGCCTTCCGTGGCATCTTTCGAGTCGCACGAAAAACTTATTTGTTATGCGAAACCTAACATGCATCAGTGAAGGGCAAGAATACCCTTATATGGAGCCTATCGCCACAGCGCACCCCACGGGAAGTCTGTCTAGCAAAAACAGCATAACGAGCAAGGGCCCCACACGGTCCAGAGGAAATTAAAGAAGGCAAGACTATTTTGTAAACACAATAAATTCCCCTAATCAGTATTTTTAATAGCCCATTGGAGTTTCCTAGGGTCTCAAGTAGAAACCCCTATGACCATCCCGCGGGCCCGATGGACCTGGACCGTGCGAGCCATTGCACATTTCAGCGTTAATCTTACTCTTCCGCGACTCTTGAGTTGTCACCTTTTATTCGAACCATTCGCTTACTGTATAAGTCTTACAGTAGTGAGGTTTATGGTTGGCGTCAAGTTTGGAAGGTCCGACCAGCTCACCGTTCATCAGCCCACAAGCAGACACAACAACTCACGGTCATGCCCCCGCTAGGTGCACCTTGTTTGTGAGTCTGGCATCAGAATTATCTCAAGACAATAATGAAATGTTTCTGGACACATCTGACTCCCTGCCTCCACTGACCCCCATGGCATCGACAGGGGAGGAGCAGTCGCCAGCCGTACTGGTCACTGCCAACTTGGATCCCCAAAAGACTCAGAATCGCCTCTCTGGTGGCCGTGTAAACCCTCTGCGTCATGGTTCTGGGCAAAGTGTGGTGTCTCAGCCTTCAAGCGGCCGCGGGAACCCAGCTGTGTCTAGTCTTGTACATTGGTCAGCTCTGCTGTCTATGCTGGCGGTTGTGGTGGTAACCCTCAGCTGCTATCGTCACTTCTACCCGCACACAGGGCCGCAAAGGAGGATCCGGCGACTGGCAAATTGGGGAGGCAGCTGGGGCCATGGGAGATCCGCAATAAATGGGATTCGATGGTCCCATGGTCCCGATGATGACCCGGAGCTCTCTGCCGTCCTCGAGATGTGTTTGGACATGGAAGAAGAGAATTCTGGGCTGCTCACGCTCCATTCTACTTTTCTGCCGCAGTATCCTGGTGAGAATTTGGCGAGACAGCGAGTGGCGCCTGCGACTTACCTCACCCCAGAGGTAAGGACCGAAGAAGCGGCGACTTACTTTACCCCAGATATGCAGGCCGAACAGCTGTTCCACGATATCGCGATGACTGGACCGAGTCACTTGAGCACGCTCGGGGAGTCATTCCAACATAGCCAGCTCCTGCCCACATACATGCAACAGTCCGGCTGGCTGACCGAAACCAGCCAACTGCACAAGTCCCACCAGTTTGGCCAGCAGAGCGAAGCCGACCAGCTCTATGGGCTTGACGACTTGAAGGGGTCCATCGAGCTTAGTCGGAATAACGAGGTGAAACGGCCTGACCAGCTGAGTGAGCGCATCCAACTGCAACTGCTTTATGATTTGAGCGAGCCAAGCGACCTTTATGAACCCATGGATTTAAACACCGCCAATAAGCCCACTTATATGCACAATGAGGAAAACCAGAACCAGCTCCGCGGGTGGAGCACGCCTAACCATTTTCAGCATTTCAGCCAGTTAAGCCATTCTGGCCAAGGGAATGGTCCCATTCAACAGGAACAGATCAGCAGCCCTATCCAGCTGACCCCCCACAGTCAGCTGCAGCCGCCAAGGCCGACAGTCCAGCCCGGCCAACCCAACCATATGTACCAAAACAGTTTGAAAGGCGAACCCAACGGTTATCCCCCCCATTTCAGCGACTCAACCTTACAAAGCCAGGAGGAGGAGCCGCCCTCCAAGCGGCTGAAGACCAGTCAGCTGCGGGACCCCAGCTATTTGAATCATCACGGCCAGGACCGTCATTGTGACCAGCCCAGGCAGCCGTTGTCACACAGACAAGAGCACGAGCAACGCGAGCCTGAACATCTTGGCCAGCTGGGTTGTTTTAACCAGCAGGAAGGGCCCTGCCAGACGCCCCAGGCCAGCCCGCTGGAACAGCCCAACCTGCTGCACTCGCAAAGTCCAGCAAGCCAGCCTGGCCAGCCCACCCAGCGCAGCATGACCGAAGATTCAGAGCAGCCCATATCGCTCGTGCAGAAGAGCCCATCGGCCCAAATGCAGCAGCCCCTCAATTTGAGCCGGACCGTTCACGCCCACCATACAGACCAGCCGAAAGGGGCCCACTGCCTCAGCAGACCCAGCCAGCCGAGCCCATCCACTCAGGGGCACCAGCAGAGTCAACTCCAATGTTCCGACGAGCGAAGTTATTCAGATCAGCAGAAAGAATTCATCCAGGTGCAACAGGCGAGCCCACTGGTACAGCCCAATCACCTGCACTCGCCAAGTCAAGCAAGCCGGTCTGGCCAACCCACCCCGCACAAAGAGACCAATGAGACATACCAGCCCACTTCGCCCATGCGGGCAAGCCTGTCAATCCAGGCGCAGCAGCCCTATCACTCGAGAGCGCCCGGCGAGGACCAGCGTCCTCATGTACCCACACAGCCGGGCCCGCTCACAGAAGTGCAGTGTCCCAGCAAGTTGAGCTATCCTTGCCTGCCAAGTAATCCCCTCGATCAGGAACAACCCAACGAGGCGCACTCGCCAAGCCGTTTGATCCGGTCTACCGATTTTAGTAATTCCCTTTTGCCATCGGCCTCTCTCGAGGGTTCGTTTCTTGCGTTACTGCAACACTCTCCCGTGGACGTCGAAGCGGAGGACTTTGACGTAACCACTTGGCTCAATCCAGGTAAAAACAGGTTTAAGCTTTCTGTGGGAGAGTCTGGATCTCCATCGCCTGTCCCTAGCCACTGTCCAGCTACGGGCTCGGAGCCAGAGACATTTTGCAGCTCGAAATATTCAGAAGTACCATCAGTTGATGATCCAGAGCAGGCTCTGCGGAACGTTCTCGTCGTCAGTACGTCTTCTGTGGATCCCGTTGCTACGAACAACACACAAAAAGACAGCCCTGAGGAGGCTGAAACTCAAAGCAAGAGAAAGCCAAGGACCAGAGCTCGAAAGAAACGATGGCAGTTCCATGAGTACCAATATTCGGGTCCTTCAGTCAAGGGAGTGCAGCGGAGACGACGGCAGAACTCAAGTCAAAAGTCCCGTGCCTGCGTCCCAGTAGCGCTGCCTGTGAAGGAGAAGGTGAGTGAGACTCCCCCTCGAAAAGGCTCTGGTTCAGAGGAAACCCTGGAACAGGAGCCGAAGGAAAAGGAAAAACAAAGCAAAGACAAAGAAAACGAAGACGGGGATGTCTTAACACGATGTAGCTCTGTGCAATACGTCGTTGTCGGTCCCCCTGAAACCCGCGGCACGCAACCAGATAGTGCGGCGAGCCAGCCGACGGAGGAGAGGCCAAGCCGCCCGGCACCGGCCGAAAGCGACCCTGCAGGGGGAAGCACATTCTTTGGATTTGATTATCTGGAAGAGCAGGAAGACGAGGAGGATGATTTTCTTAGGAACCACCCATTTTTCAGGCTTCCGAGACTGCAACCAGGGGTGAAGGTGCAGCAGTTTTGTGTGACTAGTGCGTTTGCCTTCCCCAACATGATCAGGCACCCTTCCCAGACTCTTGGGTACATGCGCACTGCGTTGGCGGGCGACACCCTTGGGGAGAGCGAGGCCAACGGAGTTGTTCTGGCGGCACAGCGGGCCGTGAGCCATCTGCTCCACTTCCACCAGGAAGAAGTCCCGGAAAAACGCGTTGCCAACGCAGTGTTTGTACTCGCAAACCGTTTCCTCATTCTAGACTCACTACTCTGCGCGATTGAGGTTTTGGGGCCCGCTATGGTTCCTCATCTGTGGTGGGATGATCTATCCCGTGCTATTCCCTCTGATGTCGACCCGCAACACTTCCAACACCACAACGAAACCGGCTGGCATTTGCAGGAACTTGCACTCAGACTAAGCACAGCGGTGACGAAGCTGAAGAAAGGTCACCGGCTACGACCTAAAGAAACAGTAAACCTCAAGCGTGAGCTCTTCTGTGATGAGCTTTCACCTGCAGCCTTCAGAAAGAGAAAGTGGAATTCCTGGAGGACCGATGACGACGCTTTCATGCGTCATGCGCTGCCGGCGTTTTGTAAACAGAATAAAAGTACGTGCCCGTAGGACCCAACTGCGGGGCAGTTGGGCGCATTTAAGGGCCCTGGAGCTTCGGCGTAGCTATAGTTTCCGTTATGCCAAAGGCACGGAGAAATTTGCTACCCCCCGTGCTAGGGGTCAACCGCCCCGTATTTATCATAGGCGTGTCTCACTAGTTTCCTGAAGTGAACCAGGAGATGCCAATGGACGTATGCAGACCATTACATTACAGATCCACCCAAAGCGGTCTCAGCTGTTGACTCTGGAGGGGAGGAGGGAAAAGCACGAAGTGGAGTGAGACACAACGAATTTGTGCAGCTTGAGCGTTGAGTCATTGCTGTGCAGTTCACTGGAATTTGGCATGAAGACAGGAGAAAAAGGGTGGCGGTGGGAGTGATGACACTGAGTCCAGTGGATAACATGATTTATTACAGGGCTTCGATTGGTGTCTCTGTTACTCGCGAGGCTTATCCTTGTCTCCGCGCGCCTTCTAAGCCCCTCACCCGCTGACGGTGCCGTTCATCCCCTCAAATGTTTTACGGCAGAGGTTTTCTTCTGTACTTTCCAATCCTTGCTGAGGAATGAAGCAAATGGCCCGAATCGCAGCTTCTGCATGGCTTGTGTTCACATGGTGGCCACAAGTCGCAGCCCTGTGGCTCCCAAGACGTTAGCAGAGGTCGCAGCAGCAAATTTTGAAGGAATCGCAGTAATTATAGGGTGCACATCAAGTGGTTGATTGTTGCAGAGAGCCACGCCCTAGGAAGACGAATGGGTTTTTTAGGTTTGCGCGACATTGGACTAGGCTCCGTTGAGTGTTCGTGCAAGTATCCCGCAATGCTGTTTCGGGCCTGCACGGCCAACCAGGCATACCCCGGCTTTTTGCCGTGGCATGGCGTGCTTAGCCGATCAATGTCTTGACACAAAGCAGATATTATTGCCATTTAATACATTGGCAAGTCGCACCAACGCAATGGACAAGCAGACCATCGCTGTAGCAGGTATGTAGTGGTCATTAATGCAGGATGCACAAAGGGGCCACATATGCACGAAACTTTTTTAGTACAATGAGTGAAAGCTCTGCACATCCACTGGCAGCTACGTCTTTTAGGAGCCAGGTGGTCGCTCTTCGCGGGCATGTCCCTTAGTATATTTCTTCCTTTTCCATTATCCGTCTGGAAGCCTACTCTTAGTTTTGCCTGCATCAGTCGCCTTGACTGATGCAGCCAAGCGGTTACGGGGTGCTGGATGCGTTTTATCTAGTGCAAGGGCGCAGCCCCGCAGCATAGGAACTTTTTGTTTGACCTCATTACACGCAGTGAAAGGGGAGGCTCGAGAGGATGCAGATTGCTGCTGCCCGGGACAGATAAATCGCTGACCAGCCAATGCCACTGCCGCGCTGCAGCTGAGGGCGCTGTCTCAGCCTGTTATGGGATGCCCCTGTGCACCTAATTCAAGTAGCTTTTACGGTATGCTAATCGGCAAGGGGAAGGCAGTGAAGGGATGCTCTGGCACCGGCGTCGATTACGTGGCGAGGACAGAGAAACAAAGATGGGGCAATCTACAAATATTTTACTGTTCTTGGTGTGTGGAGCTTCAAATTTGGAAAGTTGCCACACTTGTGCAGGAGAGGGCTTTCCGAAGGTGCTGTGCACAAGGTGCTGTACCAACACGCACGTATCAGGTGACGCGATGAGACACTGTAACTAGCCAGCATGAATTCTGATTTGAAAGCGTTCACTCGTGATCCGACGGGTGGCGGCAACGGCGCACCAGTTTGCCGTCTCAGGCATGCATGTGAGCCAGCTGTTCGTCCCGTACTCAGTTGAACTACTGTCACGGTACCAAATATGTCAGTGAGACAAAACTGATCTGTCTTATGACCTTCCAAACCCAGCTTCTGTGGCCTAATGACGGGTGAGCAAATTGGGTGTACACTTTGAGACTAAAACGTCGCCGATACGTCAGTGGCCGCTTGGCTGTGGTATTCTTCCCGACACATGAGAGTTTTCCAAAACCAAGATGTCACATTAGGATGCATCTTTCTGCATTTTGTTTTCAAGTGGAAATTAACATCAAGCAAGCTCTCCCCTGTACGGCCAACCTGAATTCTTCAAGCTACCCGAAGGACCCCCGATGTGGGGAAGCAATGCGACCTTTCTGGGAACGATGTAAGCTTTTTAGGGAACTAGTCTTACAGAAGCCATTAGAGGCCTTCAGAGGCCTTTAGAGTCCCCCGGAGCACTAGCGAGCACGGCAAGAGTTATGAGGGCTTCTCACGCTGGGCTGACTCTACACGATGACCTGTCGGCAGCACTGGAACTCTCAGCAGTCCTCAATATTCGACAAAAACAAATTAAGCATTTCTATGGGGATAAAGGTCTCAATCAAGGCTTTTTCTGGCCTTCTTTCACTATTAGGGCCCTCCGAAAGCCCGACAGCCACAAGTGACCCCCCAGGGCTTCAGCAACGGGAGACCTAGCAGCCCCCTTACAAAACCAACTGAGTGGAATTACAATGGTGATTTCCATAGTTTCAAAAAGTAGGCTTACACACTAGCCTTGTTGCGTGTACCTCCTCGGTAGCACTGGGAAATTCCGCAGACTGAACTGCTACGTGTATGTCCACTAGCCTGCGTGCATGCCTTCACGAAAACTAATGTGCGCGTATTATGGGCTAGCACTTCGTTGGTAAAATGCGAAATGCAGGCGTAAAGTAGAGCTTAATCTGTGGAAGCCGCTTGCACTCTGGCCCGCATGCATGCTTGTGCGCATGCACACAGGCGAGCTCGAAACGTATTAACACACCGTAGAAGGCCTGGAATGATTCATGTATCTGCAGATTGTTGACGCCTGCGTACATGCATACGATTCCGTTTAGGCTGTCGTGCACGCAGGCAGGCAGCTCTGCACAGGTGACGAACTAAGACCTGCTATTAACGGATTATGGCTCAAAAACAATTTCCCGAGGAAATACAAGTTTCCTGAGGCCTTTCAGTACCAAATCGTTTCACCAGCTTGTGGATTAAAAGAAGAATCGCAATGTGGGCAGCGCTTCGTCCGCTTAAGCAGTACTAATTGCAGTTGCTGCCAATGAAACTGCAAGTGGAGCAACTGCCGTTTGTGTGACTTACTTTGTATTCTCAGTATCCATATGAGGCTCAGCATTTACCAGAAGCTTCTACTGCATTCTTTACCGTATAAGTCGTCTTCTTAGTCATTTAGGGCAGCTGTTGGTTAGTTTGGGGTGCACATAGAGTGCCGCCTCAGGCCATGGAGCCTGCTTACCTCAGTGCCGATGTTCGCGCGGCTCACTTTGTAGAGTTCTGTACGAAGGGCCTTTCAGCTTTTTACTTACCAGATTATGTCGACTTAAGCGTACGCAAGTTCTCCACAGGACAGGAGCATCTCATTCCAACGGCCGTAACAAGAGGGCCTTCACATGCTCATCAAACAGGCGCTCATGCAGACGCTGATACAAAGGACCCAGCAGGACTTACTAGCAGAGCCTTTACAGGGGCATCTTTCGGGCCTCCTTTTAGTCCGTTGTTTGATGAAGGCCAAAGCATTTCAGCCTCTGTGAGCCGTGGGTCTCTGGCTCGCCTGGCTGCTGCTATTCGCTCTGGTCAGCTGGGAGGTTTCTGTGGGGTGATAGACCTTGCAGGAAATGCCATATCTGATGGGGACTTCTTGGAGCTGTTCCAGGCAGTGAAATGTAGCGAATGTATTACCGGTGAGCGGCAGCTGTGCAACTGCACGCAACGGAACTAAGACACCGTGAAGGCAAGGCGGCACAGTATGACGCCCTTGTATATCTGGCCACCCGTGTGATGTGAACTCACACCTCACGACTGGATGAGCAAAAGAGAGATTTCCACTGGAGCAACTTAAAGACACAACGATCAAATTAGAAGTGACCCCTTCTAATTTGATCGCTATTTCCCCGATGCAGGTTTGGGGCTTAGGGACACTCTCATAGGAGACGCCTCAGCCCCTCATTTGGCTGCCATTCTCACTGCCCGGCCATCCTTCATGTTCCTCGATGTAGCAGGAACCAGGCTGTCGGAAACTGGGGTAATCCAGATCTGCCAGGTAAAGGTGCAGCTATGTGCCTTGTAAAGTAGCCACATAGCTAGTTATTAGCTTCCTCGCGAGTAGTATAGCCAGAAAAGTTTTAGATAGATCATTGGCTAGACGAGAACCCGTCTAGCTAGTTGGGAGCTCCTGGACCGTTGCAGCGGATAGCCTGTTGCTTGCTTTTGGTTAATTAATCTCCTTTGTGATTCGCCATCCGGTGCGCAGCACCTACATTCGCACTGGGTGTAAATCTTGGAACCACAATGGCACAGGAATGCGCTTGAGGTGTATGAACGCATATAGGTTTATATGTATAGGTGGATGCAGCTATTCTGGTGTTCAGAATGATTCATAGTTAGCGTGAAAACGCAGGATCATTGTGTTATTTTATAGTAACATGCATATTCTATTGTTTATTAAATAAAAACATAGTCTCCCCTTGATTATATTCTCGTCTACGGTGCGCAAGCCTGCAGCACTAAAATATGCTGATATATTATCTGTTGTTATGCACGCACATGTCGTGGCGTCTTCGCTCTAGGCAACGAGAGAGCACTGCGCAGTACGCCAACTCGCCCTCCCCAGGCTGCGGCAAAGAGGCCTCTCTGCTGCAATAACCGTCGCGAGACAGTGTGTGGCTCTGGAAATTTTGGAATTAAGCATATACAATAGCGCGGAGCCCTTGGGGCCCCCAGGCGCCCCAGGGGCCCCTCGGGCCCTCGTAGAGCCGAAGGAATCTACCTCAAGTGGTGCTTTGACTAACAAGAAAAAGCGGAAACATAAACAGCGCATGCATATACCAACTGAAGAAGAAGATGATGCATGCAGCCTAAATGGCAGCGAGCTGCACTGCTTCAAAGGATCTGATCTCACTGAGGCTCTCACATACAACCCGGAAAGGTCCTTGGGACATGACTCCAGACCTGTGGAGAACCTGATCCAAGAAAGATACGTCCAGGTAATCCATATACAGCACACTGTACAAGTACACTGAAACATTGGTTCCCTTAAGCTCCTTTTTTCCTTTCATTGCACAAGCGTTCAGCTCCTCAAGGCCGACAGGAAGGCTCCCAAGGTCAAAGCATATGATTTAGGGCTTGATGCTTGTATGCGAAGGCAATTAGAGGGCTGCTCTTAGAGCTATTTAAGGTGTTCGAAAAGCAAACGAAGATAAAGAATATCGTCGTTGACGGGGCTGGAGACGATCCCAGCCTGCGCCACATTGGCCTGGCCTTCAAACAGCTAGCTAGTGAAAGGCAGCTCGCTGAGGAAAGAGACATAGCTGAGAAGCAGCAACTAGCTACCCACTCGGAAGAAAACATGAATTTTAGGGGCCTCAGAGGTAAGAATTATTCCAGTGTGGCAACTTACGCCGCTCTCTCCACTGTTGCTTCGGCTGTTGGCGCTTCTACTCCTACTGATGTTGCTGTTGAACTGTGGGCGTCTGTGGCAATGCGTTGCATGCGTTTCCTTGCAGGAGTGCCTCCCGTGTGCCTGCGAGTTTACTTCTGTACTGTATTGGAGCAGCGGCTGATGAGCGCGTTGCTGCTGCTCGCAGCGGCAAAGAAAGAGCTTCCTGCCGCTGTTGACAGCAGCAGGAAAGAAATGGCTTTCCTAGCCAACGCCCTGTTCGATAGTTAACTCCAAGAATGCACTGTCTTAATGAAAAACAAACTACACAAAGTATCTGCCTGCATTCAAGCAAGAATGCATGCACGCTCAGTGGCTCAGACACAAGACACACTCTTCTATAACTGCTGCTACTGCAGTTTTTCCCTGCACTGATCTTTTTGTTGCAATGCTTTGCTGCCCATGTATGTTCCATACACTGTCGAGCGCTACTGGATCACACTGTGTGTGAAGAAAGGCAGTGCAAAACGCTAACGAAGATTCAGATACGAAGTCAATACTCAACGTGAGTTCCCAATTTAAAACCATTAGTCTGCAATGCCGTGAAACAGGGTGTACGCTGTAGCGGTCAATGGTGCAGATATAAGAACAAATTACAATTTACTTGACATTCAAGTTCGAGAGGACCTACGTGGGACGAAAAAGGCACGGGGTCCTCAAGGATCCCTGCAAAAGAGGCTATCTGTAGCCTCGGGTATAGGCATGCAAAAATTGCATGCACGCCGTCATATATAAGTGCATGCACTCTCCCGCACACCCACGCATGCATACAAGATTTGTTATGGGTTTCCCACGGGGAGTCAAATGTAAAAGGCGGCCCTGGGCTGACAAAGACGAGGAAAGAAAGACCAGAAAAGCCTTTCAAAATGCCTTCGGAGCTTATCAAGGGCTGCGCAGTGCCCCGCTTTGTTTTTGCATGCATACATGCATGCATACACTTTAGCTCCAAGCAAATCCCTCTCGTTGCACGCACGGCGCACGCATGCACTGCTGTACAAACCGCATGCACACTGCACCCTATACGGGATGGCATGTCTTCAAACATACTGCAAGCACTCTTAACATGCATGTATAATTGGCTGCATGCATGCATGCAGCCAAATATGCATGCATGCGCTCTAATATGTACGTATGCATGCACCCTAATCACATGCAAGCAATTGACAGATACGCCTGCAGTCTAAATCGCGCGTCTGTAAACCCTACATGGAAGAGTGTTGCACGTTAGGGAACGCTCTGCGCATGCACGCATGTCCCCATGCACCTGTGCACGCATGCACGCTTGTCCCCATGCACCTGTGCATATATGCATGCACAGGCCATTAGCTGAGTCCAGTGTCTATTTAAAAGCAGGTTTTGGCATTTACTTCAGAAAACCGAAACTCCGCCCGATATTCCGGTTGCCGAGTGTCTCACTGGGGTGCGGCAGGCTTAAAAAAACGCTTGAAACTTAGACAGGGTCGCGCTCTGCTGCAGCAGCACTTGCTGCAGTTGCTCTTGCTGCACATGCTGTTGCTGTACGTGCTGCTGCTGCTGGCGCACCTGCTGCTGGTCCCCAGGAAGACATGTTTGAGCTGTAACTGTTGCTGCTGCCTTCCCTGCTGCACTTGCTGACTCTGCTGCTGTCGAAACAAGCCCCTCTGCAGCATGCAGCTGTGAGGACTCCACTTGGGGCAGAGACTGCTGCAAAAGCAGTGCCGGCAGCTGCCTCCGGGGTGCTTCTGCAGCAGCAGCAGGAATGAGGACGCGGCTTGTTCCTATGACAACGTTGCGCTTCACGTACCCAGCAGCTGCTGCAGCAGAAGCAGCTTGTGCCGCTGCCCTCGCTGCTGCCGCTGCCTTTGCTGCGGCTTCCTCTGCTTTTGTATCTAGTGAAGTGGAGGACGGCCGCCAAGACTGGCTAGCAGCAGCAGCACCTGCTGCTGCTGCTGCCGTTGCTGGTACGGCTCGAGCAGCTGAGCAGTGCATGCCTGTCACGGGGACATGCGTCCTGTCGCCCTGCACATCGTATGTGTCCTGCTGCTCTGACACAGCAGGCAACGAGGACCCGGCTGAAACTGGTGGTGGTGGTGCTGCTGCTGATGTTGCGCTTTGTTGCTGCTGGAGAGCACCCTCCAGCTTCTCTGCAAGGCTGATGTTGCTGAGTAGAGACCTAACGAAGCCAAAAGGCGTTTTCGGCGCAGCAGTTGGCTCCTGCTGCTGCTCTTGCTGCTGCTGCCGCTGCCCTGAGGCCGGAGTGTCCACACAGCTTTTGCCTGTACAGTTTGCGCCTTGCTGCGCCTGTGGGGCCGGCAAGTTCCAATGCCTGCGTGAGGCTGCACCAGCAGCAGATGCTGCATCTAAAGAGTTCTGGGAAGGAGCAGCTATGCGGCACGCCGCCTCGCCTGCCTTCTTCCCTAGTGGGAGCATTAAGGCGCGTGAAGAGACAACTTGTCGTTGTCCCTGCACCAGCAACAGCTGGTGCCGATCCTTGCATGGCTGCAGCAGGTGCATCTGCTCCGGCGCCTGCTGCTGCGCCTGCTGCTGCACCTGCTGCTGCTGCTCACTGGGACTCGTAAGCGCCACTGTGCGTCTCACAACTCTGCCCAACGGTGCTGCAGCAACCGAACGGAACACATGGGCACTATCTCCGCTAGCTGCAACAGCAGCTGCTGCTACTGCTGCAGCCGCAGCCGAAGGGGAACCGCTGCCTCCACAAGAGCTTCTTCCCGCACTTGCTGCCGCAGCCGCTGCAGCAGCAGCAGCAAAGGCGCCGCTGCGTGTTGAAGCGCGGCTGCTGGGACTCCTTCCCGCAGTTGCTGCCTCTCCAAGGAAATCTGCATAGAGAAGTAAGCGGCTAGCCGACAAAGAGATAGTGGACTTGATGCTGTGGTTGCTGTTGCAGCAGCTGCTCCAACCGTTGCTGCTCCTACTGCAGAGGTTGCTGCCGCACTTGCTGATGCTGCTTGTGCTGCCCCCGTTCGTCATGGTGCTGGTCGTGCTGGCCGTGCAGCCGCGAAGCCGCCGCTGCTGCTGCAGCTGCTGCAGCAGCAGTGAGCGGCACTCTCCATCGGCGCCCATTAGTTGCTGCTTTTTTCTGCTCTTTCGCGACTGCCGCCTCGCCTTCTGCTGCCGCTGCTGCTGCTCGCTTCGGGGCCACGACGGAGAAGCTAGTAGCACACTGTCTCCGCTCGGTGCTGCTGCTGCAGGGCCTGCTAGGAAAGCAGCGCAAGAAGGCATCGTTACAGCTGTTCCCTGCTCACCAGCAGCTGCAGCTGCTGCAGATGCTGCTGCTGCTTCCCCTGTCCCCGGGCTCTCCCCAGGCGACTCGCATTTGATGGCTGTGACCGTACGGGGTAACCTGAGGCGCCCGTTGGGCTGCTGCTGCTGTTGCTGCAGTTGCTGCTGCTGCTGCACCTCCAGCTCGTGTCTTAGCTGCTGCTCTTGCAAAGCCAAGTCCCTCTGTGGGTCTGCTACATCACGAGACAGAGAGCCTGCGCTGCGGGATTGCTGCCGCGGGTTGGGCGAAGCAGCACAAGCAGCAACTGCTGTTTCTTCGCTCTTGCAGGATGCAGGTACCCACGAGGTAACACCAACGCCTGCTCCTGCCGTTGGAGGCGCTGACACCGAACAAGGACCAGCAGGGCACACAGCAGGCTCTGCTGCCGCTGCCGCTGCCGCTGCAGCAGCTGCTACTGAGCCTGCCGCAGCCACGGCATCTGCTGCTGCTGCCAAAACATTCGTTGCAGTGCTAACACCATGGGGGGGAGCTGTAGGGCCTGCCTGCGTTGGAGCTGGGGGCATCATTGCAGAGGTACATGCAGTAGCAGCAGCTGCAGCTGCAACAGTTAGCATTGTCGTCTCCTTATCACATTGTGGTGGCACACTGACAGCAACTTCAGCAACAATTGCTGGAAGAGACGACCGGGTCCCTTGAGAGCTTGGCCTCCCCTCAGCACCCGTTTCCTGTCCCAAATGCGTTACTTGCTGCTGCAGCTGCTGCTGCTGGACTTCGCCGCAGCTAGGCTGGTTGATGTGTACCGCGCACGGTGTCGTAGGCGGTGCAGCCACCACAGGATCTCTGCGTTCTCCAGCTGTACCAGAGGCGGCCTCACTTTCTTGAGAAGAACCACCTGCAGCAGCAGCAGCTGCACTTGCAGTTGAAACGCATTTAAACCTGCGGGAAGCAGAACGCGTCGAAAGCTTTTCTAAAAGGCTTTCTTCGGGGCTCACCTGATGCTGGCTGCTCCCTAGATGGCTTCACTGCTGCTGCTGCTGCTGGAGTGACTGCAGCGGGAGGCAGCGGCAGTTTTTGCTTCAAGGGTCTCAGAGCCTCGGGCACTGTAGGACCAACTCCAACTCCTCGCTGCAGCTGCAGCGAGAAAACCCGGTCCCTCTGCGGAAACGACTTGGGGTTCATGCAGAGGCTGCAGCAGCAAACGACAGCAGCAGCAGCAGCAAGGCGAATGGCCACCGGCACAAATCTGATGCATAGGGAAAGGGCAGAAGTTAAAAACATGACAAGAAAAAACAGCCAGGAGACACAAATCAAAACAAGAGACATAAAACAAATGTGCAAGGCATGCACAAGAAAAGATGAAGTGCCTTACCTAGTTGCTGCTTCTTTGAGGTAACGGAGCTGCTTGACAATTGTCTGGAAAGAGGGGCGTTTCATGTCATCATCACGAATGCAGCTGAAAATAACAGCAAATCTTTATCCCAAACCTTAATCTTTACACCCTAAATTCTGGCCCCTCAACTTAGCCATTTGCAGCAGATTCTGGAACTCAGCATCTCCACTTCCGTTTTCAAAAGGCCTCCCTTCTGCTGCCTGCTGCTGCTGCTGCTGCTGCTGCTGCTGCCACGCACCTAACGGCCACTTCTGCGAAGGCATGAAGCACTGAGGCGGGGAAACCTGCGCGGGTGTCGGCGGCCTTAATGAGGCGGGGAGGGTCTCGGGCGAGCAGAGCCAGGACAAAGGTGAGGGAGCCGTCGGAGTTCTGCAGTAACACGCGCCTTTGCTTCTTTAAATTCTATTTGGGCTATTTGACCGTATTTGAGTCTATAAGTACTAAGTGGGAGTGAGGCGAGACACTTCTCAGTACAATTTGATGAAACAAATGAGTTACAAAAGACGAGGAAAGCCGAAGAATAGGAACAAGTGAGAGAAAGGAGAGATGAAAACAGGGATCTAGCAGACAAGGTGACTGCTTGAAACACAAAAACGGACGACAAAAATATATATATATATGCGAGAGATACAGCAGCCGCAAGTATAGCTTACTCAACAAACCAGTCAGCAGCAGCAGCAGCAGCAGCAGGACTCACAATAATGACTGGAGGCTTCGCCGTGAGGAGTTCCAACATGACCATCCCCAGCGAATAGACCTCCGCCATCTCAGAGACCAACGAGCTGCAGCAACAACACCAGCAACGGCAGCAGCAGCAAGTACGTGAAAAAGCACACAAATGGATGAAACAATGAAACAAAAAAGATAAACAAAACTAAAGACAGACAACTTGACCCACCTGGCAATGTACTTGGGATCTGCATAGCCAACGGTCCCCGCTGTCTGACGCACAGGAAAACGCCCTGTTCCCTTTTTAGCAAGGCAAGCCAAACCAAAGTCCGAGACCTGCAGCAGCAGCAGCATCAGCGGCATTAGAGCGGTGGACATTTAGCAGTGCGAATTCCCCGCTAGAGGGGCACAGCACCTTTTCATGAAATACATTTATCAAACACCGTGGAAGGCATCTGCATATATCCTCTAAGTTTTGGTCAATCTTGCCGAACCTTTGCGTGCTTGTGCTTGTCTAACAAGATGTTTGCTGTCTTTATGTCGCGGTGATAAACTGTGGGACAGTGGCGGTGGAGATGCGACAAAGCCACCGCCGTGTCCAGTGCAATGCAAAGGCGGTCCAGCCAAGTCAGCGTTCCTGCAACACACAGCAGCAGCAGCAGCAGCAACAGAAGCGTGCAGAAGCAGCAGCGGCAAAGACACTTGCAAAGAAGCGCGCCAAGCTGCTTAGGTTGCTGGTGCTGATGCACGTTTACACTGTAAAGCTGCAGCAGCTAAGCCAGAAAGGGCTGCTTCGAGGCCCTCATACTATGAACAGGAGCAGCAGCAGCAGCAGCAGCCACTGAGGCAGCAAAACGCACCTCTCTGCAAATGCCCTGAGACGTCACCCCCAGCCATCATTTCGTAAATGAGGAAACGGTCCTTTCCATGACGAGCAAATCCCAACAAGATCACCAAATTTGGGTGCCTGTGCAGCAGCGCACACCGTGTCAGTAAGGCAAATGCAAAGGGCAGCAGCCACCCTTCAGCCAGCAGCAGCACGAAAGGACAAGCAGCAGCCTCGGCTTTCCAGCAGCACAACAAGAGCCCTCGCAGCAGCAGAGGTGAGCTCATGTGCAGGTTCACGGGCAGTGTCTTCGCCGCAGCAGCAGAATCCGCCTCAGCCTCAGCATCATCCATAGTATCAGCACCCCCCTCAGCAGCAGCAGCAGCAGCAGCACCCCCCCAGAGCAGCAGCAGCATCCGCAGCAGCAATGCCCGCCAGAGCAGCATCAGCATCCACACCAGCAGCACCTTCCTTAGCAGCAGCAGCAGCACCTCCTCAGCAGCATCCGCAGCAGTGCCACCCGCCTCAGCAGCAGCACCCCCTCAGCGGCAGCAGCACCACCCGGCTCAGCGGCAGCACCATCCGCATCCGCAGCACCCCCTCATAAGCAGCAGCAGCAGCAGCAGCAGCAGCAGCAGCAGCAGCAGCAGCAGCAGCAGCAGCAGCAGCAGCAGCAGACCTGAACTTGGAGAGGACGACGACCTCGCGTTCAAAGCCGGCCTCCGAAGGGTCGTTGAGCCTCTTGACGGCCACCTCCAAACCATCGCGCATGAAACCCCTGTAGACAGTTCCGTAGGCGCCCAGCCCGAGAACGTGGCGGAAGCCGTCCGTGGCCGCGTATATCTCCTGCACCACGCAAACCCTAAACCCTAAACCCTAAACCCTAAACCCTAAACCCTAAACCCTCGAAACGCAACCCTCGCCCTCGAGACACGCCAAGCCCTGCGAACTTTACCCCGAACAAGAAAACCTGCACCCTAGACACTACACTCTGGAGCCTAAACACCAAAGACTAAACCTTAAACCCTAAACCCTAGCTCATGCACCCTGGAGGCTGAATCCCAAACCCTAAACCCTAGAGCCTAAACCCTAAACCCTAAACGCACCTCGTACGAGTACTCCAAAGATATTTTGTTGAGCGAGGAGTCGTCCGCGTCAGCTTCAAAGTCGCAGATCTTCGCTCGGGGCCCCTTGGGGTCTGCTGCTGCAGGGTCTGCTGCTGCTGCTGACGGGGTGCCCTGCTCAGCGTGTGCTGCTGCTGCTGCTGCTGCTGCTGCTCCCATGTCCTGCGGCTGCGTGGAGCTGCAGCTCTCGCTGCACCTCTTGCTGCTGCTGCTGCATCCATCCTCGGGCGACAGCTGCTGGACAGCGTTGAAGAACACGCCGCAGAGTTCACCAGGATCCAGATAGCCGCTTGGCTGTTCTGCTGCTGCTGCAGCAGCAGCAGCAGCAATTGCTGCTGCTGCATCTTTGCTGGTCGTCGGCGGCGAGGCCCCCTGAGTCCTCTCCGCCGCGGCAGGCGCTGCTGCTGCTTCTGCTGCTGCTGCAGCAGCACAAGCAACAGTTTCGCCGTCAGCTAAGGGCACCCCAAGTGTCAGTCCAGCAGCTTCTGGTGCCGTCGCAGCAGCAGCTGCAGCAGCAGCTGCAGCAGCTGCAGCAGCAGCTGCTGCTGCATGCCAACGCTCGGCATCCTGGTGTGGGGCCCCACCAGGTAAGCTGCCGCCGCATGCTGCTGCCTCTTCTGCTGCTGCTGCCTTTTCTGCTTCCGGTTGGGCCACAGGTGACGCAGCAGCAGCATCAACTGCTGCTGCTGCTGCTGCGAAGACAGCAGCAGCGCTGCAGCGCCCTTTGCGGGAGTCCTCAGGGGGCCCACCGAGAGCGCCGCGGCCATCAGAGTTAGCTGTCATCTCTTCTATGCATTTGCTGCTGCAGCTGCTGCACCTGCTGCTGCTCCCGCTGCTGCTGCTTCCCGTGCTGGCCCCTCTACGCCTAGCAGCAGCAGCGGCACCAAAATCTGGGAGGAGACGATCCCAACCCGCGCCGGCCCCACACCCCAGCAGTGAACGGCAGCAGCAAACACACGATCCCAGGGCTCCTGAAGACGATCCCAGGCCAGGAGAAGACGATCCCAGTGAGGACAAAACACGATCCCAGGTCAAGGTGGGGCGATCCCTGGCCCCAGCAGAAGCGGCCCCAGCATGAAACGATCCCACACCTATTAAGGCTCTCCCGGCCTGAGCAGCACTGCAGAGGCTGCGCACGCGAGAAGCAGCTGCGTTGCTGCTGCTGCTGCTGCTGCGGCTGCTGCTGTGTGTTGCTGGGGGGTGGTGGGGCGGCAGCAACAGCTCGACCGCTGCAGCAGCAAGTGCAAGCTGCTGCTGAAAAGGTTCCAAGAAATAGAGAAGACTAAAAAAACAGCCCCATGGACAAGGTCTTAGCGCTCCGGCTGCAGCTGCTGCAGTCGCTGCAACGCTGCTGCTGCTGCTGCTGCTGCGATCACCAAAGATCCCACGCCTTGCGCAGCACGGCCAAGGCCTGTGTGCTGCTCTGCAGCTGCTAAGCTATTCAAGTTGCCAGAAGTGTCGCAAAAAAGAGCTTTCGCCGGGCTCTTGCTGCTGCTGCTGCTACTGCTGCTGCTGCTGGTGGGAGCAACACTAGCAGACGCAGGAATGGTCGCATGGACCTTCCTCTTCAGAGACCCCAACGCAGCTAAACAACTACTCCTAAGGTTATTAAGGGGTCCACAGGTCTACAGATTCTCCCCACACAAAAGCTGTGCTCGCGTGATTCCTCCGTTTGTGGCAGCGGCTGCAGCAGCTGCTGCTGCTGCTGCTGCTGCCGGTGCATGCCACCGCAACACTGCAGAGCCCCCAGGGCCTTGTCTGTGGGGTCCGGAGGAACAGCTCAAAGGGTTTTGTTATTAAAATGAAGAGGATTACCACGCAAATCTATAAAGACACGAGACAGAGACAACGGCCCCCCGATCGTGTCTTGTCTCGCAGCAAGCATAGATCCCACCAGCCCAAGCCTTGCCTTTTGTAGAGGTTTAGCCTCCAGTCTTAAGGCTCTGTTTGTCTTCTTATTGTTTTATTTTGGTTTTGCTGACAATTCAAGAGCCAATCTGCTGTGTGCAGATAGAAGAAAGGCCCGGGGCCTGCGCTGCTCGTGCTGCTAGTGCTGATCTTTCTGTTGCTGCTGATGCAGTTGCCGATCCTGTTGTTATTGCTGCTGCTCTCGGTCCTGCTGCAGTTGTTGCTGTTCACCATTTCGACATTTTTGCTGCAGTTGTTACTTTTTTATTAGTGACATGAGCATGGTAGCCTTCTAGTGCAGCACCGCAGAGCATTATGGGGGAATTCCCGTGCTGCAGTGCGCTGCAGGGGCGCTAGTTTGGAAGCAGACTGCAGCGCGTGCCGCACATTAATCAGTTTATTCTTTATTTTCGGAAAAGCCATCATGTAGCCTTTACTAAAGAGAGGAATTAGACTAATTAGCTCGTAGTGTGTAGCTGCTAGCAGCAGCTGCGCAGCTAGATGAAAGGCCTCAGGCAGCAGCAGCAGCATTCTATCAGAAGCAGCAGCAGCATTAAAGCAGCAGCATCCTTTCAGAAACAGCAGCAGCATTCCGTCAGAAAGACATAAAAGCCTGTTTTCAATGAAGGGAACGAACAGGCTAATTTAAAGAAGGGCAGAAGTGGAGATAAAACACCTTTTAAAAGAACAAAAGTACCACGGACAATCTTAGGAGGGCTGCGGGCGATTGTCGGGGAAAAAATTTTTGCAGCTTAATACTGCGCTTTCCACAAGCCAGTGAGGGTCTGTGTTGCCCCCAAAAAAGAGCTTAACCCTAGAGTAATGAGGCTGCTTTTGCTGCTGCTGCTGCTGGCTGGTGTGCAGCTTCTGCTGCTGCTGCTGCTGGGGAAAACAGGCACGATGTGGGTAAAAAATATCTTACAAATATTGAAAACAAACTAAAGTGCCGCTTTTATGGAATCCTTTCTATGACCTTAGCGCTATCCTGCAAGTATAGAAGAAAATGAATGGTATTTCATTGTAGGCTGTTGCTTTACGCAACTTGGAGCAGAACTAGATGCAGCAAAGGTAATCTTTAATGCAGCTAAATCGGGAAGCATGAAGGCCACAGCCAAGTTCAATTTGATCCTAAAAGAAATAAAACGGAAATAAATGAAATGCATGTATTTCAGTACAAAGAGTGTTATCCGCTACTGTGCGGCTTCCTCAAGCACTGACAGCAATTCGAATCACTCCAGCAATTTTCTTGCATTGCTTCAGTGCTGCTGCTTCTAATCAAGTCTTCTGGTAGAGTTGTGAGAGCAGCTGCAGCAATCAACTAACAGGAATATCTTTTCTTGTGCAACAGATGGTTTTTAAAATGCAACTTGCATCATTTCGGCTCAATGTTGCAGGGCCGGTATGGCCTTGCAGAATGTCAATTCTAATTTCCTGTGGAAAACATGGCATAAGCACTGGATCCTCTTCTTCCATTTGTGCATATGTTGCAGTAAGAAAGAGTCTTTGGCCATTTGTGTCTTCACCACGAGCTTCACCAACTTTTTGATGCTCTATGCACCCCAAGCCTCCCTTAGCCACACTCCAGAGGCTTAGGGAGCCCCCAACACCATCACACCTGGGCTATAATGCGTTAGTCTAAGGCTAATATACGCTAATAGAGATAAAAAGCGTCTATTGTCCTCTACTTAAGTGTAATAGGTTTTCATTTATATGATACTAGAGCCTAGATCGCCTCGGTTCGGCTGGAGCCATTAGACGGAATGCGACGGATTGGAGGCGTTAAAGGGATTAATTTTGTTGTACTTTTGTGTTATCAATTAAAATTTAAAAATTGAGAGAGATTAAAGCAGAATTTCGGCTCAAGGGAAACGGAATTGCCCCACAGTCAGCTGCGTACCCGAGGTGGCCCATGTGTGCCCTGAGGCTGCTCACAAAACTAGGGATGAGTGCAGGCCGATTTTTTGGGAATCCAAAGAGGATAATTATTGATGTTTGATTCCTAGAAAGGATAATTTGAAACTTGTGCAAAAGATCTGGGCTAGTCTTTAGCGCCGTGGCTCCTGTGGGGATTTCATCTTCTGCCCCACCCCGTGTCTGAGAGCACTATATGCCTATTTTACGGGTCTAAGGGCGGATTTTGTGGGCCACCACTAAAAAAGCAATAAATATGGGGAAATATTGAATTGAATTCCACTTTTGAGTGGCTAAGAAGCGCTCCTCGAGGAACGGTGAAAGCATACTTCTTGAGACATATGGCCCCTTTCGTATGAATCGTGCCACCCGGATTAATTCCGGCAATGTCGGAGTTTCGAAATAGCCAAAGATGTTTTTGTTGCTTTTAAAGCAAAGCATGTACTAAGACTGATACTTGTGGCTGCGCTGAAGCCCCCCAACCTCGCGACAACACCACCTGACTGAGCCTGACACTCTTCCTTTTGCGGTGTCTTTGCCATTGCCTCCACGTGCCTTTGTTTAAAATCATTTGGATTTACCCAAATTGCAAGTGTGCTGCACTTTGTGGCGTCTAGGATCCCATAGTTACTGAGAGCGTGAAGGCCTAGGCATTAAGACGTGGACTTGCAACAGTGTTGCGATGGACTATTACGCATGCAACGGGGGCAGATGCTTTCCCGCCGTTTTGAAAGCAGCAGCTACCCTAACTTATGCTGCGATTTTCGCTTCTGCGAGTGCTGCTGCCTCGACTGTTTCTGCTGCTGCAGCAGGTGCTGCTGTTGCCATGCTGTTTAAATCCAGGAAGCGCACAGCTGCAAAGGCTTGACGAGTTCTGCATGCGCCACTTATGTGCTGCTGCTGCTTCTGTCTTTATTTACAAATTTCGGACACTTGTTGCTTTTGTGGCTGAGGGCGTAAGAGATACTGCAGAAGAGAGGGAAACAGAAGTAGGCGAGCGGCGAGAACGGACTGAAACAGAAGTGGGAGTGAAAGCAGAAAGAGGCAGACCAAGACACATATTGATCATGGAAAAGGTTGAAATAATATATATATTTATGTATGGTCGAAAGTATTTCAATGGCAATAGAAATAACACAAGGAGAGGCCAACGCATAAAGAGTGGAGAGAACAGCAGAGGGATTGCTAAGCCCTTTCTCAAGACGAACGCACAAACAGATCCCAAATAAAAAGAAAACTGAATAATAAATGTGTCCATGAAAAGACAGAAATCCAGAAGAAGAGAGATACAAGCAAGAGAAAACGAGCAAGAGAGCACGCAGGCAAATATGTACAGAGTTGAAGTGTGAAGACAAGCAAGCGAGATGTATGCAGCCCAAACAGACAAAGAAACAAGCAAAGAGAAAACAAACAAAATAAATAAACAGAAACGATAAAAGCGTCAAGGGGACGAATTGCACAAACGCAAAAATCGGGAGAAAGAATAAAAGAAGCCCCTCCTGTCTTTTAGCCACCAGTCATTTGTCGGCACTTCCCAAGTTTTAGTTTTGCCCAGCTCTGAGTCCAGAAATCACAAACTACTTCAGAGTATTTTTAAATATAATTATGCATAACTTCGGAAGATCCACAGAGAGAATTATGGTTTTACACGTTTTTTTCATGCTTTTGTCTGCTTTCGCATTAATCCTGGCGATGGAAGTGACCCTGTGGCCCCATCAGCATTTTCTCGCTCTTATCTGTTCCTTAGAGAATAAATTCATTCAAGTTAGCAAAAATAGAAAAAGAACAAACCCTTTCAACAGGCTTTCTGCAGCCGCTGTTGTAAACCCTAAACGCCAAGCCCTAAACCCTAAACCCTTGCCACACCCGAAACGGGGCTCTCAGGCCTGAGGAGTCCCCGGGGCCTCCCTCCTCCTCTAGATTAAGAACAAATTCATAATTATTATAATTAAAAAAACAAAATAAATCTATTACTGAGGCCCTGAAGGCACAGCTGCATAGTCGCGACACACCCAGATCACACACACGAGACGCCAGTTGAATACTTCATTTGTGTGGCAAACAGTTTAGAAGAACAAACAAGTTAAAAGACCTACATTCTTTAAACTCTGGAATTAAAACTTAATTAGTAATGCGAAACATAAAGGCAGGCTGAAACGGACTCAGGCGGAGGGAGCCTCTCGTACTGCTAGCTGCTTCGTTCTAGCAGCAGCAGGGGCAGCAGCAGCAGCAGCAGGGAACGCTGCTGCTGCTGCTGCTGCTGCTGCCAACGCACATGGCTCGGCCTCCGCCTTTTTCTTGGGGGCATCTCCTTCACCCTTATCTGCCGAGCCGTCCCCGCAGCCAGACAGTTCCGCAGACATACTCGGGAGTGCCCCCATGGCCCCCCAACAGCAGCAGCAGCAGCAGCAGCAGCAGCAGCAACACCAACAAAGGCCTTACAGGCTTTCGAAGACAGTGTCAGTCGCTGCTGATTGAAGGCAGCCCTTTAAATACTTTTAGCCAAAAGAAAGAAGGAAAACCCTCAAGCAGCAAACCCCACACCCAGAAAAAAGGAGATGTAGGTGCACCTACACCCCATTTTGCCATTGTTGCTGCTGCTGCTGCAGCTGCAGCAGCAGCTGCTGCTGCTGCATTCAGGTCGCTGCTGCAAATGCACGCGGGTGCAGCAGCAGTGAAGGCCAGGGCTGTTGCTGATGCTGCTGCTCTCTGCCATGTTGCTCTTGCAGCTGCTGCTCCGCGTGCTGCTGCAGTTGCTGCTCTGCTCATCTGCTGCTTGCTAGATTTATATATCTCTCGTTTCTCCTTCACCAGCTGTTGCTGCTGTTTTAGCTGCTGCTGCCGCTGCTGCTGCTGTTGAGACTCCAACAATGCGGGCCTGCCCCCTCGCATTGCTGCAGGCCAAACCCCCAGCGCAGCCGCCACAGCAGCAAGCGCAGCAGCAGCAAACGCTGCAGCAGCAAACGCTGCAGCAGCAAGTGCTGCAGCAGCAGCCTGCTGCCAGCGACAAAGAGACACCATGCAAAGGGCTCTCTCCTTCCCCCGAGCTCCTGGCCCTTTCCGACAAAGCGGGGTCCTTACATCGCCGGTCGTTGTCCCGGGTAAGCAGCAGCAGCAGCAGCAGCAGCAGCAGCAGCAGCAGTAGCAGCAGTAGCAGCAGTAGCAGCAGTAGGAACAGCAGCAGCAGCAGGCAGTATGCTGCTGCTGCACACGTAGGGCAGCTGCTGGAAAGGCAAAGTCCTGCTGCAGCAGCAGCCAACAGCAGCAAGCAAGTCCATGTGAACATAATGCTGCTGCAGTCGAAGCAGGCTCCTGTAGCAGCTGCTCCAGGAGCAGCAACAGCAAAAGGGGCAGAATGACCAGCAGCAACAGCAGCAGCATTCAGACGAGTGCGTATTTGCTGCTGCTGCTGCAGCACTGGTGCAACTTGACCACCTCGTAGCACTAGAGTAGCTCCCATGCCACTGCTTCTGCTTGCGTTGCGGCTTGCTGCTGCTGCTGCTGCTGCTGCTGCTGCTGTTGCTGTTGCTGCTGCTGCTGCTGCTTCTGCTGCAGTTGGGCCCTTTGAGTGTGGTCAGCACAGAGCTGGAGGCGATGCAGCAATTCCTCGAAGACGAAATTGCTGAGGGGGCCGAGAGGGCAGCAGCAGGCAGCAGGCAGGCAAGCACACACATAAGAAATCATAAAGATTGGCTAGTGACCAGCTAGCTAGCGAGCTGGCTAGCTGGCTAGCTTACTTGCTGCCGGGCTAGTTAGCTAGCTAGCTAGCTAGCTCGCTGCTTGGCTAGCTAGAGAGCTAGCCAGCAAGCTAGCTGGGTGGCTAGCTAGCGGCTAGCCAGCTAGCTAGGCAGTGCCGAGGCGGCTAGCTAGCTCCGCAATAACTAGCTAGCCGCAAGCAGCTCGCTAGCTAGCCATCTAGGAGATACGAGCTAGCTGGCTAGCTAGCTAGCTAGCTAGCTGGCTAGCTAGCTAGCTAGGAAGTGAGTGGCTAGCTAGTTGCTGAGTGAGCCTCGCCAGGCACGGAGTTGGGGTGTATCTCCACACGCCGGTGCGCCTGCGCCTTCGCTTCCTGAGTGCGCGTGCAGAACCCAGCAGCAGCAGCAGCAGCAGCAACAGCAGCAGCAGCAGCAGCAGCAGCAGCGGAAAGGGCCCTGGAGCGCCTTGCTGCAGTGGCCGAGAAGCAGCAAAGAGACTCCTGTCCCCTCGCCCTTTGCCTGCAGTCGCTGCGGGGCTCTTCGAAGGCCGCAGGGGTGAGGGCGCAGATTCTTGGTAAGAAAAAAAAGAAAAAAAAAATAAAAGAAATAGAAGAAATAAAAAGAAAAAAAAGAGAAAAAGAAATATAAATAAAAGCACAAACAAACACAAATAAACAGATCAGAGTTTTCGGCTGAGATACGCGATAGAAGCAGACCAAGAGGCAGTCCCGCAGCACAACTGCTGCTGCTGCTCTCATCGTTATTGCTGCTGCTGCTGCTGCTGCTGTTGCTGCTGTTGCTGCTGTTGCTGCTGCTGCTGTTGATGCTGTTGCTGTTGCCTGTGCTGCAGAAGGGGACGATGAGGTTGAGCTTCGACCGCCGTTATCTTGGGCGAAGCAAAGTCGCTTTGCGTAAGCACTAAGCCCTATGCCCTTATTTCCAAACCCTAAACCCTAAGCCCTAAACCCTAAACCCTTATCCCTACTCAAACTCCCTTATGTCCGCTGTGCCATTTTCTTGTCCGTGCTGTGGGGGGTTTTGCGCTTTTGAGGCGACAGCTAGCTGTGGCTAGCCGCTTCAAGACTACCGCTAGCCACATGTTTAAGTGGCTGCTTCTGCTGCTGCTGCTCTTGCTGCTGTTTCTGCTGCTGCTGCTCTTGCTGCTGTTTCTGCTGCTGCTGCTGCTGCTGCTGCGGGAGCAGGCACTTATTCCGGGCGACTTCATCGCAGCGCTTCGCCTACAACTCCATGCGTTATCCGCCTGCAGCGCCGAAGCAGCAGATTGCGGCGTCAGCAGCAGCAGCAGCTGCTGCTGCTGCTGATGCTGCTGCTGCTGCAGAGGCAGCAGCTGGCCCTCCGCCGCAGCTGCTCCACTGTGAAGACCTTTTTGAAGAGCGGCTGCGGCTGCTGGGCTTTGAGCGGCCCCGCACTTGTCCGTGTTCCCGCAGGGGGTACATTAGCAGCAGCAGCAGCTGCAGCAGCAGCAGCAGCAGCAGCAGCAAGGAGATCAGCACTTCTCTCTGCCCTGGTTGCGCTAGCTGCAGCCCCAGGGGAGAAGCCTCCTGCTGCACCACTGCAGCAGGGGGCAGCAGCAGCTGCCTGCCCACCGAGGCCTCCTGCGGGGGAGCTTCTCTGCTGGGAGGGGTTGGGGGGATTCCATGTGCTGCTGCTGCTGCTGCTGCTGGCGCTGCTGCTGCTAGCTGCTGCAGCAGCGTCGACGGGCAGCAGCGCCCCAGCTCCTCCCGCCCCAGCGAAGCCTTTGCTGTTGAAGAGATGGGCCGCAGCAGCCGCAGCAACAGCAGCAGCAGCAGCAGCAGCAGCAGCAGCAGCCGCAGGACTCAGAGAGACACGCAGACAATAGATCTCGCAGTGGCGAAGGCCCTCATGCGCCTAACTGCTGCTTCTCAAAGAGCAACAGAAAAAGCAAGAGCTGCTGCTGCTGCTGCTGCTGCAAGCAGGGGCTCATTCGGCGCAGCAGCAGCAGCAGCGCAGCCGCGGCCTTCCACCGCCTCTGCTGCTGGAAGGAGAGGGCGCAGCCGCATGGATTCAGGGCTGGAAGCAGACGCGGCAGCAGCAGCAACAGCAGCAGCAGAATCTCCTGCTGCTGCTGCTGCTGCTGCCTGCGTAGACTCCCGAAGATGCAGCAGTCGCAGGCCTGTCTCCGCAGGCCCCGCGAGGTGTATGTCCACCTCAAATCAATCAGCAGCAGCAGCAGCAGCAGCAGCAGCAGCAGCGCGGAGAGGAAGCCCTAGCTGTTTTATCTCGGACCTTCCCCTGTCCCTGCAGGAGCAGCAGCAGCAGCACCTGCGCCGGCAGCAAGTGCTGCAGCAGCTGCGCAGCAGCCTAGACGAAGATGACCCCCCACTAGAAGTTGTGCTGCAGCTTTGCACTGCCGACTTGGTCGAAGAGCAGCTGCTGCCCTGCTTCAGGTAGCTGCTGCTGCTGCTGCTGGTGTTGCTTCTGGTGCTGCTGCTGGTGCTGCTGCTGGCGCTGCTGCTGCAGCAGCAGCTGCTGGTGCTCCGCTTGCTGCCGCTACTGCAGCCGCTGCAGCCAGCTCTTCTTGCTGCAGCTGCGGGAGGCAGTTGCTGCTGGTGCGGCGGTAGCAGCGGCAGCTGCTGCTGCAGCTGCAGGCTGCTGTCACTGGAGCAGCAGCTGCAGCAGCAGCAGCAGCAGCCGCTGCGTTGCTTGCCGTCCGGGCTAGCCGATTGACTGACGCTGCATGAAACGGATTCCACTCTTGGTCTCGACATTGCTGTTGCTGCTTCTGCTGCTGCTGCTGCTGCTGCTGCTGCTGCAGAGACATGCGCGTGCTGCTGCGGCTGCTGATTGGAGCCAAAAGGGAGCAGCGGGCGGTGCTGGCTGAGGCCTTTTTGCTGTCGCTGACTTCTGTGGTATCCGCCCTAGACGTTGAGATCTCAGCCTATCAGCGGTGAGCTTGTTGCTGCTGCTGCTGCTGCTGCTGCTGCTGCTGCTGCTGCTGCTGCTGCTGCTGTTGCTGCTGCTGCAGGGTTTGTTTTCCCTTTTGTGGTGCTGCTTAGCTACGTCGGCGACCTGGAGGGGGCCCTGGACCGGTGGCAAGAGCGCGAAGTGTCGCTGCAGCGGCTGCTGCTGCAGCTGCAGCAGCAGCAGCGGCTGCTGGAGAGCCACGAGAGGCTGCGAGCAGCAGATCGCCAAGTTTACGAAAAAGAAGTGAAGGTTTTGGAGGAAAGAATTGAAGAGTTGAAGGCAGAGATCGCCAAACTGAGCCCAGATGAAGCCGTAA